ATATGGGAATAAAAATTAGATAATGAATTTCTGCTGTCAAGCGAAGGTGTGTATTTTCCTTCTTCCATTGCAAATTAGATCTCAATAAATTTTTAGCTTGGTACTGATTATAATGCATGTATATATCGCCGAGCTTGTCGAATAAGTTCTTAATATCCATTCCATTATTTAGTATTCATCATGCAGTGAAAGACAGCCTGGGAAAGACTGGTTCAGAATTCGCAGCTTACCTCAAGTACCGGAGCAGCTACACGTGTAGCTACAAAAATAAACGTTGGGTACAACGTATAGCTATCACATTATTTCGAGAATATGGCGATAACAGAGTTTTTGGCGCAAGAGGACTGTACCAATGAGCTTCAGATTTTTCATATAATGTTGATAATTTTCTAACCCTTACTCTCCTTCTAACGCAGTATTCATGATGTACAGGTAAGAAGGAACAGCATTCGGGACTTCGTCCAACCTTACCAGTGGTGTTCTTTTTATGAGCGATTATAATCGAGTAAAAACACGATAAAAATAATATAATATCTACCTCTAACATATTCCATTACCGATAGCTTGGTTACCTTTTTTCGTTATTGTGTTTCCAAAACACGAGAGACTCGCGGTATGATCGAATTCACGACTGAATGTGACTCGTACATACAGTATATGAAGGATGGATACTTGCTTGGAATTAACTACGCTATCTTATGACAGACATAGACACCGTGATGACAGTATGCTTCATTTTAACTTTAAATACATTAAAGAATCCTGATGGGACCGATATTCGTGTTACCTGTCCGTTTCTGTTCGTTGTAAAATGTTGCAATCGGGAACAGAATTTTATTCGTGTTCTCCTGTGTCTTGCTTTCAAATATAATAAACTAAATTAACCAAGAATTTTTTTATTTTTAATCGCGTTCATATGTATGAAAACCATTTACTCACAAGAACGTTTTTCATAAGTTATTTGAACTGTTGTGCGGAAAATTTGCTGGCCATCACAATATTTTTTTCTGAGGCTCACTTGTCATATGCTTGAAGATTGAGCTTACATTCAGCTCGAAAGGCCAGCAATTTACGCGTATACACGCGCATAAATATCAATAATTAGCAGATTTTATTGATTAGAAGAGGAGTATATTCCTTCCATATTATGATTAGTTTAAGAGTACATACAACACATGATACCTCGAGACTTTGACACTTTCACGTCAAGTTCATGATTGGCTCAAGCTGATCTACATATGTGACACGTAAAAAGTTCTCCTTTCTTTTTTGACGGTCAACATTAGAGGGGGCATGAAAAACCATTTAACGTTTTACAGACAACTGATTTTTGTGTTGAGCACCGACACAACATTATTCACCCCTGATGCCCACACTTTCCCTAACAACGGACCCCGTCCAGTGAGCTAAGGCGTGAGAAGGCTGTCCCCATGCAGAGAAGGCAACAACGTTACTCCCACGTGTACGCGCGGCGGTGGAAACAGGGCTTGGCTTCTCTTTGCTCCGAGACCTTCTTACTGTATTGTTACCAGTTTACTGTAACTTGTATCACTCGATGTCGTCGGCCGGTCGATCATTGGCTCGGTGGCTGCTTATCTCGTAGCGAGGTCGGCTTGTATTTCTTAGCAGGTCTCCCTCCCTTTTCTCGTAGTTAAGTAGTTTGTCGGATCTCTTGGCAGGTCTCCCTTGTCTCGTAGTGCGGCCAGATTATTGGATCTCTTGGCAGGTCTCCCTCATCTCGTAGCGAGGTCGGCTTGTCGTATTTCTTAGCAGGTCTTCCTTTTCTCGTAGTTAGGTCAGTTTGTCGGATATCTTGACAGGTCTCACTTGTCTCGTAGTGAGGTCAGATTATTGGATCTCGTGGCAGGTCTCTCATATCTCGGATCGGTATCGGCTTGTCAGATCTCTTGGCAGGTTTCACTTGCTATTGTCCGTCGCTCTGGAACAGCCTTGCTTCGTCCTAGCAGGAAGAAATCTTATTTTTTGTCCCTACGAGGCAGGTTGTCAGTAACTACCACTACCTCAATCACTAGCCACAGTCTCACAGATCGACATATGACATCTTCCTAGACCGTGCGTTTCTAGAAACCACCCATCGTCGCCACCTCTAGCCTCCTTATATATGGCCTACGAGCAGTCAACCTCGGTAGTTGTCAGTTCTCGATATTTCCCTACATCTAATCGTTAATAGAACCTGGATTCCCAGACACTGATCAGTCTGTGGTCTTACTTAAGACGAAGAGAGCAGGACAGCTCGTTCATTTTCAATGAATCTTAGTCAGTAAATAAACTTTCTCATCAATAAATTAAATCCACAATGAGACCTCACATTCACTTTGTAGTATAATCACGAGTTGCTTTATTTTCTTTGGCTAAGGAAACTTTGCCACCATACTTTAGACCAGATAAAATCACGACTAGATAGACTATTTTTGTTTGCTGTTTCCCTTTTATTGCAAAAATTTACATAAAATGTTAATGATGTGATGTGATGAATGAAACAAGTGTCATTTTAGTGAGAAACATTGTATTTAAAATGTTGAAAACAGAATTTTACATCACACATGGTTGCTAAGTTCTGGTACATAGAACTGGTTCCCCTTTGAGGGTATTTTTGGAGGATTTATCTTCAGAAGAACGTCCGCCCAGTCGCGAGTCGTGCAAGTAATCTTGTTTCTCTGGCCAGCGCCAAAACTTGAGTTTATTTTCCATGTATTCAACTGATATCCTTCTTCAGTTAAACCGATAATTTGGCCAGAGTATTTCCGTTCATTATATTTAACAACCCCAAAGTTATCAACAGCAAAGTCTTCATTGAGGTTTCAACTCAACTTTTGTTTCATCATCATTTGGCGTGTGAAATGTGCCTACTTATTCCTGCAGTATTCCTTCCCATCAAACTCAAACTCTCAAACTATCTCAACTTCATCTTCACCAGAAGTAGAGTTGCATCTTATTTTGGTTTTTCTTCTTCGACGCGCGATCAAATGCAGACAACTAAGCACTAAGCAACGTTAAAATAAAGACAATTAAGCACTAAGCCATGATTGAATATAGACAATTAAGCACTAAGCCATGATTAAATATGGACAATTAAGCACTAAGCCACGATAAAACAAAGACAATTAAGCACTAAGAGACGATCAAATAAAGACAATTAAGCACTAAGTCACGATTAAATAAAGACAATTAAGCACAGAGTGACGATTAAATAAAGACAATTAAGCACTAAGTCACAATCATATAAAGACAATTAAGCGCAAAATCAGAATCAAATAAGGCAATCAAACACTAACTCACAATCACATGCAGGCAATTAAGCACTATAAGCTCTGATTAAATAAAGACAGCTAAGCACTAAGTCACGATCAAATGCAGACAAGCACCAATTCACAATCATATACAGACAATTGAGCACTAAGCTCCGATTAAATAAAAACAAATAAGCACTAGGCCATGATCAAATGCAGACAATTAAGCACTAAGTCCCGATGAAATAAATACAATTGCGCTAACTGTCTTAAGCAGACTGGAGTCAGCACCATAGCTGATGTGCTACGAGGCATTAAGAGCGTTCTAGTGAGAAACCGGTGAAACTTTGATGACAGGTCGATAACTCATCACAGGATCGCATTACAACACAACAAATCCTTTCTTAACTGTGGGACAATTTTACAATTAAAAGGCCAATTTTCCCCCGCTGACGGTACTTCTGTATCTGAGAATTTAAAATTTGGTTCCGTAAAATTGCATGTTATTCATTTGGGCTCAATCGCTTATTGTAGACAGGGCTTCTTGCAACCACTCGCAGTCTTTACTGTCCTCAATAGTCATCAGCATCCTGATGTCGTCCGGGAATGCTAATGTTGAGGCGTGGCTCACTTCTACATTTATGTCAACGATGTGAATATAAGGAATAGGATAGGGGCAGAGAACCATTCCCTGTGGTACTCTGCATTTTACCGTCGCCTAGCTTGATCTCGAGCTCCAACAACGACAGCTTGTAGTCTAACAATTAGGAAATTGTGGATCTACGCCAATAACTCTACTCCAACCCCCAGTGTAGTCTTAGTTATCTGGCAAGCACCCCTTGGTCAACTTTGTCAAACAATTTAGAAAAGTCTAAATGCCCTACGTCCACGCTGGCCCCCACTTCCTGCATGGCCAGAATTTGGTGGTGATGCTATACATGGACAGGCAGGAACGATTTTGCCTAAAACCTTGTTGCTTTCTGTGAAAAATTCATCTTCCTCCCATGTTTGTATCTACCATCTAGCAACGATTTCCTAAAACACTTTGATAACATGTAATATTGATGTCTCCAGCCTGTAATTTTAACGTTTGTTTTTCATACCCTTTTTGTAGCTTGAAGTTACTGGTTTCAATTTTGGGCAACTAGGGAAGTTTCTTCTCTCAACGATGTTATCCACAGCATAGTCAGTTCGGCTTTCAGTGTAACGACACATTTTTTCAGCAACACTGCGCAGGAACTCCATCTGGCCCAGAAGCCGAACAAGTTGATATTCTTAAATACACCTCTGTTGCTCCGGTGTTCGGAACTGTAAATTACTTTTTTTAATGTTTTTGCAAAATTTTCTAGCATTCATCAACGTTTTGAAAACATATTTTGATGCCTGAAATTATCGAATCATCAGATTGCGTAAATATTCTTTCTTAATTTTTGGTAATCCTTGATTAATTATAGTTTTCGCCAACACCCGCCCCTATGGTGATTCCTGAAGGAATATAATTTCTTTCTCCAGTTTTGAGTAACGCGGGTTCCTAAATACTTCTTCAAACTGTTCTTCTAGCAGTTCGCACGAGCTCTGGTCGTCTTCAAAATGGACATTATTATTTTTCAGTGGCCGTTCCTGCTAAGCCGTTACTTACTTTCCAATTTTCATTGGGATCTTTGTACTTGTCCATTAAACTCCAACTGAATAAATCGTAAAGTTTTTCGATACAATCCCAATAGCATTGCAATAATACCTATAAGAAAACTAATTATCTCGTGGGGGCTTTTCCCATGAAGACCATGTTTCAATCTTGGTGTCAATGTTTCGCCGTTCTATTTGCAGGTCTTGCGCTATTATCCCAGTTACGAAGACGTCATCAATCCAAAAATATCGAAATCTGTGAGCGTTTCCTACCAGTTTCCTCGCAGTTTCCATTGGTGCAATGTAGAACCATCCGCTTAAATATGTAGGGTATTCATCACCGACATATTCCTCTTGCGTTACCTGCCATTTGTTGTTTAATCTAAAAGGCTTCGCCTTAATTACAACTAGTCCTAGTAGAACATTTTTGATGTTAGTGTACCTGGTTTGCAAAAGTTGTCGTACGTGAAAAAAATTCACTGTAATGTCATCATCCATCTTGATTACGAACACCGCACGAGAGCAGAAGTGCGTAGCCCAAGTCAGACCCATGATATGCTTGTATGTGAGATTTCGATAGTGATCCTGGAAATTGCCTTGGACAATATCATTAAACTTGTTGTTTTCCGCATCAATTTTGCTTTGATTAACCCGCAGGTATTGTTCTTGGCTTACATTTGGATCACCCAAAAGGAAAGCTCGCCAATTTCCGCCAAAATTTCCCGAGGCATTTGTTCTCGAAGCCTATTCCTGTGATTGATGTGACTAGGATGTGAGTGAACCAAAACAAGTGCCAACACATCTTCTGCTGAGCCATCACAAATTCTTGGATTTTGAAGGTACTCAAAATTGGTTAGATCGATGAGGATGTTGCTATTCCCATTGTTTCCTTGATGCAAAAATCTTTCATCAACAAGACTGCTTAAGTAACCACTGTCTTGTGTGAGCATCCCCAGTAGCAGCAGTAGCAGGAGAGAGACAACAGCCACCGCACAGCGCGCCAAGGAGCGCCATCGGCTTCGAAGGGCAACAACGAGAGATTGAAATAGTTCCTTGCACCTTTTCATGACGTTCAGGTCTTCACAAACCTCTTGAAATCCTGAACCCTGCAATAAGATAAAAAAAAGTCAGGAAATGCCACAAAGGTAGTTGAGCATTTGATCTATTAACTGTACTATTTTGAAAAAAGGTAGGTTCTTAATTTTGGGAGATGATATTAATGATTTCATAATATGATATCTTAGAGGCAGTCAATTTCTTTTTAATAGATCTAAAAGTGCAGGACAACCTGGTGGTCCTTAAAAATTGTGTGGTACGAACTTTCTCTAAATGAATGCCTCTCCATATAGGGATCGCGTATAGATCACCAAACAGTTCTTTTGATAATGATAAAGTAATAAACATCCTCTCGCCGAGCATGACTTCCATTAGGTCGCATACATTGATCGTAGGTGACTTTAGCCATCCACAAGTAGACTGTACAGATGGTTTATCTCCAAGGAATACAAATCACCCAGCATCATTGTTCGTGAAGTCTGTGAGAGACTCTGTCGGGCCTCTCAGCTGCCGCATCAGCTGGGGCACTGCATATAGGCCTATTGTGATCGTTCGTTAACTGATTGCGTTGTTTGACTATTGATTCGATAACAGTGGATTTATAAAAGGCTCTTGTAAGCGTTTCAGTTCATAATTTTATTCAGAAAGCAAGTTAACAAGGTTTATACAGCCGTGTACAAAGTGATGTAACGTAAGTTCATCTTGGATTAAAGCTTGTTGATTAAATCGTTCGGAACACTGGACACGTAAAAGGATAGCGTATCAGGATGCTATAGGAATCTCTGTATTTGGGGCCACGTGTCTCTTCCAACTGACTCTCCGGCTATCCTCCCAACAACCTACAGTTTCCGTTTTCTAATTTGACTAACTAGGCGAACAACTCCCAAGGGTTCAGACCTAATGTTTACGGGACGCAGTATAGACCCCTGCATAGCCCTTGCCCACAATTCAATATCTATTCCTCTCCGCTCGTAATCACGCTAGAGGGCATATTAGCCTGTGTGATTAAGTGCCTAAAGCCAAAGGTGCCATTTCCTTTCCTGGAAATGAATCAATCAGCCAGATAAAATCAAGCCGCCGAAGCAACAGCCGTGGGCAATTAGCCAAACTGTTGCGTGCTTGTATTAAACACAGCCTGGAGTCTTCGTGACTTTTGAAAATAAGCGCCCGACATAACAGCGCCTTTACGTCACAGCCACTAATTCAACGCGCTCTACACAGGCAGAAGCGCAAACCGCCGTCCCTATAACGCCATGCCCGGGCTCTCCCCCTTCGCAGCCAGCAGAAGGCTTTTCTCGTTGCCCGATCAGAAATGCGCCTGGCGCGATGGAGGGACCTAACCTAACCTAACCTGGCGCACAACTGCTCAGCAATTGAAGAAAGCCTTATGTCTGCGAAGGGGGAGAGCCGGGGCATGGCGTTATAGGGACGGCGGTTTGTCCGTTCTGGCCGGCCCATTGACAGTATTCTTTCAAAAAACCTTGAACGAACGAACTTTGCCGTCCGACTGGAAAGAAGCTCAAGTAACACCATTGTTCAAAAAGGTGACAAAAGCAGCCCCGTTAACTATCGCCCTGTCAGTCTGACAAGTGTTGTTTGTAAGCTAATGGAATCTGTTGTGAGGGATAGGACTGCTCGACTGCTCACCATCTCATATCCGATTGTCAACATGGTTTCCTTGCTGGTAGATCCTGCACCACTAACTTATTATCTACGTTGAATGATTGGACTCGCCTGCTGGACGAAAGGGAGCCAGTGGATGCATTGAGGAGCGCAGCCCTACACCACAAATTTAGCTCATAAACCAGATCAGCCGCTAAACTTTTTTTTACTTTTTTTTATTTTTCTCTCTTCATCTTCTTGCCACACATTTCCTACGACACACAACAATCCCCCAATTGTGGCCTTTTCCTGTGTGTATCACTAGTGTTTAATCTCAATCTTACATTAGTTTTACCTAGCCAAAAAACCCTAACCTAACCTAACCGAACCGAACTGAACACAGACTGACATATCCTAACCTAACCTGTCCTAACCTAATCCTACCTCACCTAACCCTACTTCTCCTAACCTTACCTTGCCTAACCTTACCTGACCCAACAAGAACTAACCTAACTTAACCTATCCTAACCTAACCTAACCTAGCCTGAACTAACTTTGCCTTACCCTAATCAACCGCAACCTAACCACCCTATGTGATTGTCGCCATAGGAACTTGTTCCTGGCTTGAACCTAACCTCAGCAAATGACGTATACTTTACGACATGTTTAATTTCCTACCTATTCTATTCCGATTCCGTGCATGATTGTGGCCAGAGTTCGCATTTCCAACACTCACTGAACGTGCTGGAAATGCGAACTCTGGCCTAAATACTCCAAACATCAATAACCTGGGTGTCAGTTTTCCTCTATCAAAGTAACAGTGCAAAAAGTTTAAGTACTCAGTCGATGGTTGCAAAAAACACAGCTTCAAAGCTTCTTGTGGTACCAGTTTCTCAACTTACTAGTCGCATTTGCGAGCGCTGCCTACTCCATGACACCGATGGTCATCATACGTCGCAATACGGCTTGAGCGAAATTCTACTTGAAATCTTGTTTGACGGCAGAAATCGAGGGAACGCCAGGGCCCTGAGCTCAACACTCGGGGCCATAAAAAGGGAATTTTTGTTTTATTTTATTTGTAATTTGTTTGAATTTCCTTCAATGATGTACGCTACCGAGTTAAAAGACCTTAAAAAAGCAAAAAATCGCAGTTAAGAATAATCCCCTACGAAAAATCTGTATTGGACGCAGTGGTGGACTTCAATTTAGTATAAATATATAAATTTATTAATAAAGTATAAACTTCAATTTAGATTCAGAAAAGTATTAATGGACATTTTATGATTGAACATTATTTAAAGAAAATGTATTTAATTAGATCTCACGCTATTTCTGAGATACACTCGATTCACAAGATTGTAATTTCTCAATTTCAGTATATCATGGTGAGATTATCAAGGCCAAACTGTAAAGTAGGGCGCAATAACTCCTAATTTAAACAAAAATGAAAGAAAAATGGGTAAAATATAGTTTGTGTTTGTGTCTGGAATGTCAATTTTCATTTAGGAATAACCCATACTAAATGAATTAATTATTAATTGCAGTTTTCAGTTAACATTGAAATTTAAAAAATATTTTCTTGAAAAATACCTTCTCATACTAAGATTGAGGGTTTTATCGGGAGAATGAATATTATTCGACATTATATTATGTAAACTTTTGACTTTTGACTTAGCAACACGGTTGAACTAGTATAGTTTATCCATGATTCAATTCACTGTCGCGAAGAAAACGGAGCGTCGTTTGAGGTGGACTGTCGAAATGTAGAACCGGAGAAGCTTCAGAAGTAAAAAATAGTGATGAAAGTACGTTTCCAGGCTTTAATAACTTCCTTAAATTAATATATAGGGAAAATTTGTGATAATCTGCCCCGAAACATGCTCATCCGCCACTTGAATCGACAGTTGTTTCTTCCGCAATGTAAATAAATCAAGAATTCTCTAAGATACGGGCTAAGGAGGAATTGTCACGGAACTCTTTAATCTTACAAATATTTGCAAAAAGGGGGGCCGGGCGGCCCCCCGGGGCCGCCCAGAGAGTATTTTAGTTTTCTTCTAATGATTATTTGCGTAAATTTTCTTCAATCTTGGTCTATACCGAGTTATAAGACCTTTAAAAATCAAAACATTTGAGATGAGGGGCCTTCTCGTTTGGGCCCAAGGACTACAGATAAATGGTAGGGAGCAATTGTATTGCTTCATTTAAACGATTTTTAACGGTACATATGAGAAGTTTTTTTCGTAATATTAATGCTAAAGAGCTGAAGTGAATAACCATATATGAATGGAGTGTCTAACTTAAAAAAATAAGTGCCTAATAGAGTATTTTAGAAGTGAGCAGAACCGAATCTCGGTTTATTTTTGATCGTTAAATTTCTAATATAGAAATACTTTTTTTGAAAATGAGTTAAATAGGCAGTAATTAGCGCAATTTTATCCTCTGTCGATACCAACTTTCAGAAAGCTTCCTAAAATTACGCAGCTTGCACAATAGTCTTAAAAGTAAACTCGTAGAACACGTTCAGAGCAGCGCCCGGAATAAGGCGATTTGGACGAAAATTTTGTCAATTATTGTCTACTTTGAAAAATCATATCTCGATCTCTATAGAAGCTAGGATCATGAAACAGGGTCCAAATTAAAGGCAAAGACTTGTTCTTTTTTGTTAGGGTTGTTGAAAAAATACACAAAAATTTTCCGTAGAGTTATGAAGAAAAAAGTGAAAAAGTTGGTAAAAAGTTTATCAAAGTTGATCAAAGTTTCGCTCACAACTTTGTGAGTTTTGAACTTTTCCGAAATCCGTTTTCACCAGTGTGTTTGTCTCAACAAGGCGCATCTTTTTCTTTCATTTACTATGGCAAAAATGTTTACGGTTTGGCCGCGAGAGTTTAAAAACCACCGAAAAGTGGCCGAAAACAATTTTTTCAGAGTCAAATTTGACCCCCAATTTAGGGATGAAGTTTTGACCCGACAAAAAATCGTTTGAAATCCCAAACACACTCCAATCCTTTACCTTTCGTTTAAAATCAAGCGCATTGCTCTGAGTTCGCAACTTTATGAGCTATGATCGTTTCCGCAATCTCATTTTAGGTCATTTTTTGACCAAATTTTCCCCTTTTTTGGGGATTTTTGGGGGGAAGGAGTGAGAATTTCGGAAACCCGACAAGATGGTTTGCTAGAAAAAATATGCGTACGTGTCTGTGCCAATTTTCATGAGATTCTATCGTGTGAGCTCCTGCGAAAAATGGCTCGAGTGAAAACTTTAACCTCAAACCCCCCTGTACGTGATTATACAGCAGCAGCATATCAAAAGTGGAGAGTATAAGTTTAGCGTCCGCTTCGCTGGCTGTAGGCACACAGAAAGTGAGCCGCTCCTGCCGAATCAAAAGTGGAGAGTATAAGTTTAGCGTCCGCTTCGCTGGCTGTAGGCACACAGAAAGTGAGCCGCTCCTGCCGAACAGGTAACTGAGTCATCTCCCCACACCAAGTTTAAGCAACACCTACCTCACTCCACAGCCTACTGAATCAAATAGTCAATTATCAACAGGTCCTACTCCACAGGTTAGGTTAGGTCCCTCAATCGCGCCAGGCGCATTACTGATCGGGCAACGAGAAAAGCCTTCTGCTGGCTGCGAAGGGGGAGAGCCGGGGCATGGCGTTATAGGGACGGCGGTTTGCGCTACTGCCTGTGAAGTAGAGCGCGATGAAGCAGTGGCTGTGACGTAAAGGCGCTGTTATGTCGGGCGCTTATTTTCAAAAGTCGCGAAGACTCCAGGCTGTGTTAAATGCAAGCACGCAACAGTGCAGTGTCACAGCAACTAAGGACGCAAGGAAGGGAAGAGTCTAGCATAATGATAGCTAACATAGAGGGACTCTTCCCAAGAAGAAAACGCCACAAGATCGGCGTACTTAAAGAAATTGCTGAGACAGAAGGAATAATCATGCTTTCCTTAACCGAGTCACACCTAAGAGAAGATATTCAAGATAGAGAAATCGAGATGAAAGGCTTTTAACATTACCGAGCAGATCGAAAAGAAGGGAGAAGAAAAAGAGGCGTTATAGTCTACCTCAGAAACTTCCTCGCGGCAAAAACAGTTCCCCTGCTTTTAGGCTCCAATGGATATGTGGAACATGTTATACTATACATTCTCCATCTCCATCTGTGCATAGCTATCGTATACCGACCACCTGACTGCCCGCCTGAAAAATTCAATGAAACTCTCGATAAAATAGAAACAGAGGTAGCCAACTTAGGGGAACCTTCTCCAAATATTGTGGTTGCGGGAGATTTTAACCTACCACACATACGGTGGCCAAACTTGGACTGTGTAGAACGGCGCAGAAATAAAACCAGAAACCAGGCAACACAACTACTTCGATTCGCTAGGGAGCACTTGCTAAGCCAACAGGTTCTGGTGCCAACAAGAGAACATAATATCCTGGATCTATTCTTCACCAGCAATGAAGAACTGGTTGCTGATATTCGTGTTGAGGAGACCACACCTGTCTCTTATACACATCTANAATAAGATTTAGGAAACTCAGGCTTATGTATACCGCATATGAAAAATTGATGTTGCTGTACAACAGAAGCTCTCGTTTGTTTGTACGATAAGTACGAACAGACTTTGTGAGCAACAGGTACAATTATCCTGGTTTGTTATAAAGTGATTGATATTCCTACGACTTGAATAGTGTATATTTATCCTTTTTACTAGTGTGCTGCCACCTCACGAGGGTGTAGTGACCGTATAACTATCAATATTCTCTGCAATGACAGCGGTAACTTGAGTAACGTAAACGTCACCCAAGCTGACATTTCACCAATCGTTCTAATCAGCGTTGCTTAGGGCATTAATTGATTGTACTGAAAATATTAGCGTAGAAGTCGCAGTGGAAGTGATGTTTTAATCAATGTTATTCTGCGTTTTCCGCTCACCATCTCTAAATGTACAAAATATTTACATCAGTATTCTTGACCGAAACTACCTACCACGTTTTCGAAACCCAAATGCTTTGAAGCTCTGGACATTTAGAAATATAAGTTCTGGAATCTATCGAGGCCGTAAATGTAATCCTTTAACTCACTTATAAGCTCAGTAATTAGAAATGAAATCGTTCACATATTTATTTCCGCGAGGAAAAGTTTCCCTCTAAATCGCCTTTCCAGGACCAGATTGAGCTATGATTTCTAACTTAAAGCTATAATACGATTTAACATCAAGTTCGCTGTTTTAACACTGTGTTATATACACTTTAACATCAAGTTCATGTATATATCGCCGAGATTGTCGAATTAGTTCCTTATATCCATTAAATTATTTAGTATTCATCATGCAGTGGAAGACACAGCCTGGGAAAGACTGGTTCAGAATTCCGAGTTGACCTCAAGTACCGGAGCAGCTACGCGTGTAGCATATAGGAGACTTCGTTCAACCTGACCAGTGGTGTTCTGCTTATGAGTGATTATAATTGAGTGAAAATCATGATAACAATAATATAATGTATATCGGTAACATATTCCATTACCGCTAACTTGGTTACCTTTTTTCGTCATAATGTTTCCAAAACCCGAGAGAACACACGGTACGCTCCAAATCCAAGAATGCATGTGTATCGTACATATATGACGGATGGCTGCTTACTTGTAATTAGCTATTCCATCTTATGACAGACATAGAAACCGTGATTACAGTATGCTTCATTTTAACTCTACATGCATTGAAGAAATCTGATGGGACCGATATTCATGTTACCTCTCCGTTTCTGTTCGTTGTAAAATGTTGCAATCGGGAACAGAATATTATTCGTGTTCTCCTGTGTCTTGATTTCAAATATAAAAAACAAAATTTACCAAAAATTTTTTATTTTTAATCGTCTTGGCATATATGAAAACTTTTGACTCACAAAAAAGCTTCTCGTAATTTATTTGAACTGTCGTTCGGAAAATTTGCTGGCCTTCACAATATTTTTTTCTTAGGCTCACTCGTCCTGTGTTTGAAGATCAAGCTTATAAGCAGCTTGAAAAGCTAGCAATTTACGCGTATGCACGCGCATAAATATCAAGACTCTGCAGCTTTTATTAATTAAAAGAGCAGGTCTTCCTTCCACATTATGATTATGGTACTTAAATAGTACATCATATTGATAAATCGGGACTTTGACGCTTTCACGCCAAGTTTATAATTGGCTCGAGCTGATTTATTTGGCACGTAAAAATGTTCTCGTTTTATTTTTGACGGTTAACATTAGAAGGAGCCTGCAAACCCATGGAACGTTTTACAGACAACTGAATTGTGTGTCAAGCACCGACACAATATTATTCGCCTCTGATGCCCATATGGGCTTACCCTAACAACGGAGCCCGTCCAGTGAGCTACGGCGTGAGAAGGCTGTCTCCGGAGAAGGCAACAACGTTACTCCCACGTGTACGCGCGGCGGTGGAAACAGGGCTTGGCTTCTCCTTGCTCCGAGACCTTCTTGCTGTATTGTTACCAGCTTATTGCGACTTGTATCGCTCGATGTCGTCGGCCGGTCGATCATTGGCTCGGTGACTGCTTATCTCGTAGCGAGGTCGGCTTGTATTTCTTAGCAGGTCTCCCTTTTCTCGTAGTTAGGTCAGTTTGTCGGATATTTTAGCAGGCCTTACTTGTCTCGTAGTGAGGTCAGATCATTGGCTCTCTTGGCAGGTCATATCGATCTCAGCTTGTTGGATATCTTGGCAGGTCTCCCTCATCTCGTAGTTAAGTCAATTTGTCGGATCTCTTGGCAGATCTTCCTTATATCGTGGTGGGGTCGCTTGTCGGATCTCCTGGCAGGCCTCGCATATCTCGGATCGGTATCGGCTTGTCAGATCTCTTGGCAGGTTTCACTTGCTATTGTCCGTCGCTCTGGAAAAGCTTTGCTTCGTCCTAGCAAGAACAAATCTTACTTCTCGTCCCTACGAGGCTGGTTGTCAGTAACTACCACTACCGCAATCACTAGCCACAGTCTCACAGACCGTCATATGACTTCTTCCTAGGCCGTGCGTTTCCAAGAGCTGCCCCTCGTCGTCACATCCAGCCTTATATATGGCCTACGAGCAGGCAAACTCGGTAATTGTCAGTTTAGTTTTGAGGGTTTCATTTCATCTTATCATTAATCGAACCTGAATTCCTTGGCACTGATCTATATGGGATCTTACTTAATACGAAGAGAGCGGGACAGATCGTTCATTTTTAATGAATCTTTGTGAGTAAGCAAATTTTGTAATCAATAAATTAAATCCACATTGAGACCTCACATTCACTTTGTAGTATAATCACGAGTTGCTTTAATTTTTTGGTTAAGGAAACTTTGCCACCGTACTTTAGACCAGATAAAAATACTACTAGATAGACTACCTTGTTTGCTTTTTCCCTCTTTTATTGCAAAAATTTACATAAAATGTTAAAAAATGTGATGAATGAAACAAGTGTCATTTTAGTGAGAAACATTGTATTTAAAATGTAGAAAACAGAATTTCACATCACACATGGTTGCTAAGTTCTGGTACATAGAACTAGTTCCCCTCTGAGGCTATTTTTGGAGGATTTATCTTCAGAAGAGCATCCGCCCAGTCATGAGTCGTGCAAGTAATCTTGTTTCTCTGGCCAGCGCCAAAACTTGAGTTTCTTTTCCATGCATTCAACTGATATCCTTCTTAAGATAAACCGATAATTTTGCCAGTGTATTTCTGTTCATTATATTAAACAACCCCATATATATAGTTATCAACAGCAAAGTCTTCATTGAGGGTTCAACTCAACTTGTGCTTCTTCATCATTTGGCATGTGAAAAGTTAAATGCCTTTTTATTCTTGCAGTATTCTTCCAAATTAGAAAAGTTTTCGCTCTGCCCATCAAACTCTAACATCATCTCAACTTCATCTTCAACTGAAGTAAATTTGCATCTTGTTTTGGTTTTTCTTCTTCGAAGCACGATCAAATGCAGACAATTAAGCACTAAGGCACGATTAAATAAAGATAACTAAGCATTAAGCCACGAAAAACTGTATAAAAACGCGCTAAGGTATGATGAAATGCAGACAATTAAGCGCCAAGTCAAAATAAAATGCAGACAAATAAGCCCTAAGTCAAAATAAAATGCAGACAATTAAGCGCCAAGTCAAAATAAAATGCAGACAATTAAGCCCTAAGTTTTCTTCTCTTGACAATGCTTTCAATTCATAGTCAGTGGAGCTTTCAGTGACACATTTCATTCAGTTACACTGCATGGACTCCATCTGGCCCATGAGTAGAATAAGTCGATAATTCTTGGATACACCTCTCTTGCTCCGGTGTTCGGAACATAAAGTTTTCACCAATACCCGCCCCTATGGTATTTCCTGAAGGAATATAAATTCTTTCTCCAGTTTTGAGTAACGTAGGTTACTGAATACTTCTTCAGTCTGTTCTTCTAGCAGTTCGCACGAGCTCTGGTCGTCTTCAAAATGGACATTATTATTTTTCAGAGGCCTCACTGCTACCCTTATTTCGGCTTTTGACTGGACATATTCAAAGAACCATATGTTGTAATACACAATGAAATCTATTTAAAAATGTGTACAAGTCCCTGCTAAGCCGTTACGCAGGGTACTTCTCAATATTTATTAGGATCTTCTTGCTGGTCCAGTAGACGATAACTTAATAAATCATACAATTTTTCAATACGACCCCAATGATAGCATTGCAATAATACCTACAAGAAAACTACTCATCTTGAGGGTTCTTTTTCCGCGAAGACAATGGTTCATTCTTGGTGTCAATGTTTCGCCGTTCTATTTGCAGGTCTTGCGCCATTATCCCAGTTACGAACACGTCTTCAATCCCAAGATAACGAAATCTGTGTGCGTTTAATACCAGTTTCCTCACAGTTTCCATTGGTGCAATGTAGAACCCTCCTCTCAAATAAGTGGGGTATTCATCACCGACATATTCCTCTTGCGTTACTTGGTATTTGCTGCTTGTTCTATAAGGCTTAGCATTAATTATAACTTGTCCTAGTAGAACATTTTTTATGTTAGCGTACCTGGTTTGCAAAAGTTGTCGTATGTGAAAAAAATCCACTGCAATGTCATCATCCATTTTGATTATGAACGCCGCACGAGAACAAAAGCGTGTTGCCCAAGTCAAGCCCATGACTGTCTTGTAGGTGAGATTGCGAAAGTGATCCAGGAAATTGCCTTGGACAATATCGTTAAACTTGTTGTTTTCCGCATCAATTTTGCTTTGATTAACCGGCGGGTCTTGTTCTTGGCTTACATTTGGATCACCCAAAAGGAAAGCTCGTCTCATACCAATTTCCGCCAAAATTTCTCCAGGCATTTGTTCTCGAAGCGCCTTTCTGTGATTGATGTGACTAGGATGTGAGAGAATTAGAACAAGTGCCATCACATCTTCAGCTGAGCCATTACAAATTTTTGGATTTTGAAGGTACTCAAAATTGGTTAGATCGATGAGGATGCTGCTATTCCCATTGTTTCCTTGATGCAAAAATCTTTTATCAGCAAGACTGCTTAAGTAACCACTGTCTTGTGAAAGCATCCCCAGTAGCAGCAGTAGCAGGAGAGAGACAACAGCCACCGCACAGCGCGCCAAGGAGCGCCATCGGCTTCGGAGGGCAACAACGAGAGACTGAAATAGTTCCTTGCACCTTTCCATGTCGTTCAGGTCTTCACAAACCTCTTGAAATCCTGAACCCTGAAATAAGATAAAAAACGTTAGGAAATGCTTCAAAGGTAGTTAAGCATTTGATCTCTTCACTGTACTGTTTTGAAAAAATGGTAGGTTCTAATTTTAGGAGATAATTTAAATGATTTCTTAATACTTTATCTTGAAGACAGTCAATTTCTTTCTAAAGAGAGAGATCTAAAAGTGCAGGGCAACCATGTGGTTCCCAAACTTTTCTGTTATTCCCCACTTTGACCTAGTGGAAATTTCTACGCCCCTATGCTCATGACTCTTAGAGTCATATTGCTAAAATATATTCAGTTTTAATATACCAGTATAGAATACCAGGATATGTTCACCCGCTACCACCTGACATAAGTAACCGGAGCAATATTGTCACAAGCCTACTTCCCAGAAAGGATATGTTCTCGTAAGCGCAAAATGACTTGGACTGATGGTTGCCGCCACGTACAACTTTAATGTGTTCTCTGTTTCGTGCAAACGACTTCAGGTTGCTAAACTCAATAGCTTACGTTTAATTTAAGTTGAAAGTTGTGTTCCTAGAGAGTGACATTCGGCGGTAGAGGGTTAAAATGAAATAAAATAAATAAAATGAAGTGGAAAAAATAATAAAGTTAATATTAACAAATTTAAAAATTTTAAAATAACGACGAAGTTGCGTCCAAGATATTTTGATGGAAAACAAAAATTAAATTTCAGAAGCTAAATAGAATAGAGCGTTACACTGGTAATCCGTGAGTGAGGAAGAAGTCCTGAAAATATGCCCCTGCTTAATGGATGCAATTAATGCACTTGTTTTGAACTGCACTGCTTCCAAAACAACGATTTCTTTTCACTTCCCAATCTTAAATCCCTCTAAATGTTGAGCTGATGTCTGTACAATGGATTTAGAGGCGCCGCAGCCGAAAAGCCTGAACCGCCGATACACATTAGGGCAAACGGGACAATAAATGCAAAGCTTTCTGCGCACGCAGAGAAAATTCACAGTCCTATCCTACCAAAAATCTATTGTAAGAGCAGTAAAACTAAGTCGATCATGAACCATTGTAATTCCAGTGGAGCTGAAAAAAGGTAACAGTAAGAGTCATATACATAAATCCTGTTCTGTGAATAATATAAGATGTACCCTCATGCAGCACAGTGAAACTATAAAAAGTTTTCAAATTTTTCTATAAGAACTCGGATTCTGTTTTGAAAAATTGAAGTAAACGGTTAACTGTTATCGCAAACGAGAGTAGAGACATTATTTATATTTATAATAGCGGCACGCTTAACATGGACACCCTGACCCGGCGACCCAGCAACGGACATCCCACATCTCCGGACATCATAATTGCCTCGGACACCCTGATCTCACACATGGACTGCACCAGCACAACAGCTCTTGCCTCCAACCTACCAATACACGTCACCTTGCAAGGTGACTACGACAATACCAAACCCCCCAAAATCACCCTCACGAACTTTGCCAAAGCTGACTGGATCTAATTCACCCTCGAAACCGAAATTGTCTTTCGCACTGCCCACCTCCCGCCTGATGTCTCCGCAGCTGAAAAACTTTTTCGACAAACAGTACTCAACGCAAGCAAACACAACATTTCCATCTGGCCGTCACGTCACCTCCAAACCCGGCTTGTCAAAAGAAATAACCGACCTCACGCGACAACGAGATACTCTCCGCTCAACAAACCCCTCTTCCCCAAACATTGCCAACATGACGACCCAAATCAACCGCCTCACCAACAACCTCAAAAAAACCCGCTGGAATGTTTCATTTCAATACTGTACACTTGGAAGATGATAACCGGACTGGCTCCCACCTTTGAAAGTGAGACCTCCAGAATAGTGACACGTTACAGTGAAAGGAGAGCGAGACTATGCGAGGTTCCCCCATTTAATAACCCAGTCTTTGGAAAGAGTACAGACTCTTCGTGAGGGATCACTGTCCGTGGTAGACCGAGGCTCTTCAATTCCTTGCCAAAAGCGCTGAGAGGAGGGGAGTTCACCCTTACTCTCTGCAAGTGACAAGCAACAGCATCTTGCATCAGCTGGCCCAAAGGAGGGCAAATAGACGGAACACGTCCAACGTTACATCTGGGACCCGTGGGCGGGGTGACCTGCCTAGCGACGACTCGGAAACGGAGGACGACGAAGGCGGAGCATCAGCTTGACAGCGGACTACGAAGTCCTAAACTCATCACAAGGTCACAAGATCACTAATGGCACAAGTACAATTTATTTATCAAATTATCAACAAAAATCCTTCACTCTTCACAGCCTTTTTGGTTATGATTTCTTATCACTTCACCCCACTCAAAAGTTGTGCGTATAACGACTTACTTGTCCTCAGAGCTGGCGTAAAATTACGTATCACTCCTAGACGTAACTTTGAGCCGAAATATTTTGATAATACCACCGTAAGCAGTTACGTCTACTAAACATGCAGTACTTAGAGGCAACATGTAAAGCCGCTACGTGTATTTAGCAGTGTCTTGATTGTCTGACCTCTGATGGTTCTAATATTCATGTTTACTGTTCATTTATACAGTTATTATTCGTAAAATGTTTTAATAGGAACCACTCACGCCAAAAATTTGCTGGCTACCACAAGTTTTTCACGGCTCACGCGTCGTTCACTGATGTGAGATTGAGCTTATTCAGCTCAAAGCGCTAGCGATTTACGAGTATGCACGCAAATAAAATATCAAGGCACTGCAGCTCTTAACCGCTTCACTCAACACGAAGAGAGTGAGACAGCAATTGAAGTATTGCTGTTCCAACAACATATGCGGAACACCTGCAGTCGTCTTCGTCGATATTCCACACCTGGCATTATTTGAAAGCTGTGCTTGCAACAGACTCGTAATGAAACGAGAATAACAGTGCCAAGTCTAATACGTAATATAGTAATAGTTACGCTATACGTTATATAGTTAAACGTAATAGTTTCCCTAGAAAAGATCATCTAGCTTATAAGATTTAGTAAACTTGGGCTTGTGTGTACCGCATCGAAAAAAATTGTTGTTGCTGTACAATAAAAGCTCTTGTTTGTTTGTATGATAACTTCGAACATACCGTCAAACGGGGTAATGAGGGACAGTATTGAGCATTTTCTGTTAATAACTTCTTACCATGAAACATTTCATAAACAAGTTTGGGCTCATTTCAAGGGGAGCGTCTTGGTCCGAAAAAAACTTTTTTATTTACGGACGGATCACTTCGAAATTTAATACACGTATGTAAAACGCAATTCTAAGACTTTTGTTTGCAAGGGCAATCAAATGGCATTTCCAAAAAAAATTCCATGCGCTATTCCTAAGGTGCCAGACATAAAATATAGCCTCCCGAATTACCCCTTTGAAACGGGGTAGTAATGGACACTTGCAATAAAACTAAATTTTAAAACGTTTGAAGCATGCAGAGTGTACTCATTCATCATTAACAGTACTCTGAAGTCCTCCTCTTCCGTTGTAGATGATGTAGATGTAGAATAAATGACTTTTTCTGTGATTTTTACTTGTTTTACCTTTATTGATATGATATTACATTATCAATACATTACCATATTATTGATGTGATATTACTGTATCCATGGGCATGCCATTGTGCATTGACAACAACCTTGTCCACTGCAAGCTTCATATCAGCAGCCGTAAAGCATTTCTCCTCTATCTGTAAGCTAACAGGATTGCTTATAATTTCGCGCCATTTTAAGGGGAGCGTCTAGGTCCAAAGGTCGAAATTTTGGCTTTTCCGTTTTCTAGGCTCGTCTTAAAGCTTACTTTCTGACGCATCGAACGGTACTAGAACCATCGCTGTACGTTGATTTATCCAATTGCAACAGATCCCGTAAGGGGGGAAGTGTCCGAGCCCCTTCAGTAAAGTTAAGGCGGAAATTACCTGGCCGGGCACCATAAAGGGGATCGTCTGATGTAAAGCTGCCAATTATGACATTCTCCAGTTCTTATACTCATCTTAAAGCTTACTTTCTGCCGCATCGAATGGTACTAGAACCATCTCTGTACGTTGATTTATGCGTTCACGACAGATCCTGTAAAGGGGGAAGGGGGTGGGGGGCCTTCAGTAATTCCAAAGGGGGAAATTAACTATAGAATGTGCTCTTCACTCGGCTAGAGCTAAGTAACCTCACAGACAGCATGCGGGATGGTTTTTATTCTGTGGCTCCATGCACCGATAACTGACTTTGAAGGGAGTTGATGCTTACTTTTGGTATCAAGGCTACGTTACGTGCCTTTACGTGCCGCGCGGTGGTTTTTTGCTTCTACTGAAAAGTTGCCAAAGCTTAAAACCTCTCTCACGGCAATCCTATCTCCTCCTATAGTTTTGAAGCTACATCAATGAGACATATACCGTTCGATTTGGAAAGGAAAGATCTACAAACATCACTTGGTCGCTTCTTCCAATTTCGTTATAGTTCGGATTTTATTTTGCAAAATGTGGAGGAGGGCAGGGGTAAAATCAAAAAATTTCGAAAAATATCGGTATAAATGCTCCCACACCCACAAAAATGAGAAATCCAAAGAACCGCCAAGTGAAGATTTTAGATACCTATGGTCTTTATGCATCGAATGATAAATGTCTCGATGTTGTAGCTTGAAAATCCTAGCAGGAGATAGGATTTCTAAAGTACCCCCTTTTGGCCGTTTTCTAAGAATTTCACGTTTTCTTTCATTTTTACGAAAAATTCACACGAAAAAAAGTCTTAAAATTCCGTGTTACAAACGTGTACCAAATTTCGAATCGATCCGTCTGTAAATAACCGAGATAAAGTTGTCCCTAGACGCTCCCCATAATTGAGTCAAGTGCGACTATCACAAAAAAATCATAAAAAACATATCTGAAACAGAATGGAATATCTTAGTGACAACCATCATATTTTTTGGAGAAATAAATCATAGTTTAGGTTAATTACTCTTCATTCTATGATGCCCGGTCAATTCTCTCTATCACATTCTATGCACAATTTTTTGAGGACCGATGATGCACTAATTTTTTGTTAAGTGAAGTTTTTTTCACTGAGCGAGGTAAATGCAATCAAAATTCTTTGTTGTTAATTGATTTTCAATTAACTAGAGCCTTTGCAACTGAGGTTATACTGTAAATGCGTTTTTAGTGGTGTCCCTTGGTACCCCGGGGAATGTCCCTTATTACCCCGTTTTGCAGAAATGGCTGCTATTTTTGCTTGGAATGAGCTATCCGAATTATGTCAATCACGTTTTTAAGCCAACACTTATGTGCAACTTTTATTTAAGCAAATTTTTTTAATAAGGCATATATTTTTTGAAGCAGACCTTAGCAGAGGTACTTTTCAAAAATCTCACTTATCACACTTTTTTTCAGGGATTTTTTAGAGGTAGTAAATGTATGATTTTTCACCTTGCTGTATGCTAAATAAATTATTAAAAATGCTGGACTTTATGCAACTATTTTTAGTTTTACAATATTTCAATTAATTTAGCTGCTACAACATTTCTACAAAATGTCATAGGACTGTCCCTTATTACCCCGCCCGTCCCTTATTACCTCGTTTGACGATACTTTTTGAGCCACAGGCTCACTTTCCTGGTGTGTTATAAAGTGATTGATATTCGCTACGACTAGAATAGTGTAAATTTAATCATATTTGCTAGTGTGCTGTCACTCACGGGGGGGAAGTGACCGTATACTAAACAATGTTTTCTGCAAATACAACGGCAACTTGAGTCACGTGAACGTCGCCCAAGCCGACATTTCATCTATCGTTCTAATCAGCGTTGTTTAGGGCACTGATTGTACTGAAAATATTAGCACGTAATTCACAGTGGAAGTGATGTTTTAATCTACGTAAAATCTCTATTACGTGCTTTTTTCGAAGTATGAGTGCAACAGATACTTTTTTCATTCTTGGTTTTCCGCTCACCATCTCTAAATGTACAAAATATTTACATCAGATTTTTTGACCGGAACTACTTACCACGTTTTCGAAAGCTAAATGCTTTATAGCTCTGGACATTTAGAACTACAAGTTCTGGAATCTATCGAGATCGTAAATGTAATCCTTTAACTCGCTTATTAGCTCAGTAATTAGAAATGGAATCGTTCACATATTTATTTCCGCGAGGAAAACTTTCCCTCTAAGTCGCCGTTCCAGGACCAGATTGAGCTATAATTTCCAACTTGAAAGCTAATACGCTTGAACATCAAGTTCACTGTCTTACGAGACACTAAGTTCTAAGTTTCCAGATAATCGGCCCGGAAGTAATTGAAATATAAAAAAACTTTTAAGTCTCTGGAATCTGACAGCGATGAAGTTTTTTCAACCACTCTTCGATAATCGATGGCAAGTGGGGTAATTTTCTAAATTTGTCATTGGTATACATTTGTGCGCTCCTGCGTTCACGTAGTTCGATCCAACATTTACGAAAAACATTTCGGTTTTTTATAAATCTATCACGTTGAAAGGTTAGATATCATGTTCAAAATGAGGTATTTGCGGTGTGAAACTATTTTTTGAATATTAGGGCAACTCTACTTTCAAGCAACAATGACAAATAATGGTTTTTACAGTGAAGAATAACACTATCTTCTCGTCCAGCCGTTATACCTCTGACAGCCTCACTCAGTAAACTCCCTACTGATCGTAAGTAAATAATCATTCCTAATGCTGCGGCATATAAGTTGTCCCTACAGCAATTTAAAACTATCGTTGATTACCGTGAAAAGGTTCTAAATCCTGGACGAAATTATCGCATAAAATAAATTTCGACAGAAAGACAGCTCATGAAGGGCGACGGTATATAAAATAGCTGCAAAAATACTACATCCTATAAATAACCTTAGGAAGGGTCGAAGCCATGTATAGCAATTGAAGTAATCTGAGTCGAAAAAAATTCGAAAACGTTGTCTCGAACAAATTCTATATCTTAAAATTATTTAGAATGAATAAAAAACAATGCGTCAAAAAACGACGTATATACAATATAAAGTCATCTATACTGAAAACCTAAGTTGAAAAAGACATGAATATAAATCACGCTAATCAACAGGATGAAAAAAATATTGCTATATATAATGTTATGTTCGTTATGGCTTCAAGATGACACTTGAAAGATTGAAGAAAGATAAAGAAGTGTCAAGATTGACACTTTTTTATGATTACTTTATGGTCACGCATTATAATATTTTGCTCTCTGGTAACTTTATGGTCACGCTGTAAAATCGTCTACTCGATGGTCAGTCACTCTATGGCCACGCAGTATAATCCTCTACTCTCTGAATACTTTATGGCCACGTAATAAAATATTCTACTGGCTGCGCGTAAAGTTAAGAACAATAACTCTGTGACGTGGAGCCTGTCATTTCAGTCGATCCCAAGAGCATTCCTCTCGCTCTCTCTGGAATGGCGGCTCAGGACAAGAAATTCGATAAGCGCACGAAAAATCTGTAAATAAATGTTATAAAATGTCAAGGGCCTCTTGATTCTCCAGGAAAATATTTGCTCGAGTGAATCTGCCAGGTCTTGTCCAGAAAATCGAGCGAAAATTACGAGAAAATAGAGATAAATTTTTTTGAAATGCTTGTTTTCATGTTGGAAGAAGACTACACTCCGGCAGTTCTGGTGAAGTGTTAAAGTCTTTGTATTTGGCGTCGGAATTTTTGGACATATGGTAATACTAGCGAATGAATTTCGTCACCTGCGAGACTCATAATTTATGCTTAGAAGTGTCCGACATCTCGCAACGAACCTGAGGATACTAACAGGCGTAACGCAGCAGCTCTCAGCGACCATTCTGGGATATATTACGATATTTTTAAACTACGATATTTTTATTCCGAAGTTTTTCGCTTTATGAAATAAGTTTCGAAACAAGATTCAAATTTTTACATGTTATCCTAGCTTCACTCGATCATCTTACACTTGCCTCTTACGTCATCAGGTCGAATGAGCAACATTTAATTCAGCAATGCAGTCGAGCCTCCCGATCCGATACCCAGAGCCAGAAGTAGCAATTGAACCATAAACCAGATTGAGCTAAAAACGAGATAAAATTTGTTTTTTGAATGTATAATAATGCCGTAACGTGTTACATAAATTACTCTCAGACAAACATTTCAGTCATAGCCAGTTCAGGACTGAGAAGCTACCACTAATTGAATTACACGAAAGATATATTGCCGCTCTCGCTTTAGCACATCCATACTCGAGATTTTTTCTGACAATAAAGAAGTCTAATGACCAGGTCCCGATCATAGATTCCATTAAGCTTGTCTTAGAGAGTTTTTCATTAGCGATTAGATTTCATTGACTCTTCACTAACCAATGAAAGCTTAATGGGCAATGAAGGCAGACGTCATTGACTATTGATTTTAGATTTAGTAATGCAATCAAGGGTTGAGTCCATTATTGTCTATTTTAATTAAATTCTTTGACGCTAAAATCCGACCAGCCAATAGCACATCTCATCGAAATGAGAACGAATTTGTCAAAATAGTGACGCATATTTTTCCCTTGGGAAGATCTTCCCGATCCGTTTTGACGAAATTGCTTTTTAATGCCACTACAGAAAGTTTTTACATGATCCATTCATTTTTTGAACATACAAAAGCTCTGCAACCAAAAAGTGTTCTGATACATGCGAAGTGTTCGGATGCACGCCAAAAAAGTGTTGTTTGCCATGTTCGAATGCACCACGAGAAAGTGCTAAATTTTTTAGTTAAATTCAAACAGAGTTTGTAGAAATGTACCCATCAAATTTTTATGTCGTTTTTAATTAAAAAAAAAAACACGTCTATTGCTCATGAACTATCTCTTCATTGTTATTGCTTACTTCGTTATCGTGGGTTATCAGTTAATATTATAATTCTTAGACTAATTATTAACCAGACATTCATGATTTGACTAAGGATAATAAATGCGTATTGCTATACGCTAACTTGGGATATCCATTTTTCACTTTTTCGCTGTGAACTTCATCAGCGTCCACACTCCAACGCTCATCATCCGAAATTGTCCACAATTAAACCTCTCGGTGGGATGTATCCTGTATTTTTCATATAGGGAAGCTAAATTTTCACAAGAAATACTTAGCACCGACCAAACTTTTCTCGGAAATGTTGAAAGTTTAAGAATTAAGCTTTTCTGCCGAGAACAACTGTATTTATGAAGCATTCGGTACAAAATACGCGCTGGTGTATGCGGAAGCTGCGCCGCAACAACATCTTAGTCCAACGTCGTGTAACTCATTTGTCGCAAATGATTCATCCCGCATTGATTGTATTCATGAATGCAAAACCAATTATGGGTAATGAGAAGCTATTCATTCCTGATTGGCAACTACAAAGCACGCCATGGGTAATTCGAACCTCAGCATTGCAACGCATCATTCGTGCCAAGACCAGCCAGAATCAACGGTCTTCAGTATCCGAGTATATTATTACGGTGATACATAAATGCATGTTGAAGATAGATTACACCAAGATGCCTATTGAGGTACGGAGCCAAATATACATTACCGTTCACCACTGGCTTCCCATGCCAACTCGAACTTATTTCATACACGTTTCCCAAAACGAGCGATTTTAAACATTTTCATTCCAACTACCATACTCTATCGTATTAAAGGGGTGGTCAGCTTCTGACTTATGGTCGCCTCAAGCTCGATTTGAGCGTAAATTAGCGGCTCTATGTCGGTTTTACGCTCTGGTTGTACGAGCAAAATAACCGCCTGGGCCATACTATCAAAACTCGTTAAGTGAACTAAGTCATTACGCTCTATTTTCTTGTCTATGATTGGTGGATTTTGCTTGAATGACCGTCAATGATTGGCTGATGAACTTACGATCTCTTAACTTTTTTGAAAGTACAGGCCCTGATTATTACTCGGTTTATTCCTTGGCGACCGTAGGGCGGGTGCGGGAAGCGCGTTGCCACCCATCACTGCCATGCCACCCATCGCTGTCATGTCACCCAGCACTGCCGTGTCACCCATCCCTGTCATGTCACCCATCGCTGCCATGTCACCCTTCGTTGCCATGTCACCCATCGCTGCCATGTCACCCATCGCTGCCATGCCACCCATCGCTGTCATGTCACCCAGCACTGCCGTGTCACCCATCACTGTCATGTCACCCATCGCTGCCATGTCACCCTTCGTTGCCATGTCACCCATCGCTGCCATGTCACCCATCGCTACCATGTCACCCATAACTGCCATGTCACCCATCGCTGCCATGTCACCCATCGCTGCCATGTCACCCATCGCTGCCATGTCACCCATCGCTGCCATGTCACCATCACTGCCATGTCACCCAACACTGTCATGTCACCCATCACTGCCATGTCACCCATCCACGTGTTCTCTTCTAGGCAAATAAGCTAATTAATTAAAAAAATTAGCAGACATTCGCTGGCAAAAGATCTTCTGAAGGATTCCACTTAGCAGATCAACATATCTTCAAACACTCACATTTTTCCTAGCTGAAGTATCAAGAAACATAATTATATAAAATTACAAGATGAAGTTAGTTATCTTTCAGGTTCTTAATGAATTGAATTTCGTTTCGTTATTTCGTTAAACTAAAATTTTTCCTTAAAAATCCTTTCAACACTAATGCTTATACAGTATATTTTTTACCTGATTCCAGTGATTTCATCATAGTTAAAGTGGGAACATCATTCAATTCTCTGATTATTTGCCCTGAACAATAAACATATTTGATTTTACTGAATATTTCACCGTATATTGTATTATATTTTAATGCATTCACGCTGATATTGCGGCCGATTAAAAAAACACAAACTTACATTTGTCTGCGTGGAGCCACATAACCTGTACCACTTAGGTATTTTTGTCTCAATTTTGAAAAAAAAAATCCCAGAAAATGTCTTTTGTGCACCAAGCTGCTCAATGCATTTCCTCCGTCGATGGGAAGTTTTTATTTAGTCATGCTGAGAGTCGGGGGATGATCGCTGCTTTCATCCATGTAATAATCTATATCTATAATAATCAATTTCTATATTAAAAATAATGGGCGTATTTTCGATGGTCAATCGCCAGCTGAGCATCCAGTAAGCCGACTAAAATGCGCAGCAGCCGTATAGAAATAAGAACTAACTCGTTTAAACAATAAACATTTAACTCTCGCTAGCCATTTTATTCACGCCAGCAATATTCCAGGATAATATTCGGCAGGCACTACGAAAATATTTAATGATAATACAATAGTTCTCCAATACAATAATAATAATTTTCCAATTCAATAATTTTATCTCTGTTTCAAAACACGGTCACATATTTGTGATTTTTTTTAACAAATTAAGCTCCTATTATTTTTTAAGAAAATATGATTAAACGCGCATTATCAAACTTAGCATCTTAATGCTAACATTGAATGAAATAGAAACGCTTAAAAATTACCTCAGCAATATATAATATGTGTTCTAAGTCATTATTGATCTATGATGGTGTTAGCTCAAGTGAATTAAAATATTTTTCAACATTGAAATAAATCAATAACCTTTTCAACCGAATTCTTGCATTGAGATAAATCAACAGCCAGGGTCTGTCAGTGGCAACATTATTTATCCCAGCAAACAAGAAGTCTGCAATGGCCAGAGTTAAGCAATCGTAACTTCGCCTGACCCACAATCGGTATCACATCTAACTATTTAATCCTAACGTGCATTAACCCTACGTCTAATAACGGTAACTTAAGTTACCAGGCCTTTACGTACGATTAACATTAGTGGTGGTTAATACATCCGTGGTAATTCCATGTCGGCTCATGGTAAATATTGATCCCAGGCCATTTCATACGAATAACAAACATTAATGGTGGTTAATGCATCAAAAGACGGTTTGGATTGTGCAACTTTTTGTCCACTGACGGCACTCTCGGTCCGCGGTTATTACATACGAATAACATTAGGGGTGGTTAATACATCAAAATTGAAACGTTAAACTTTACACTACTAAGATGATTCGGTAAAATTCGTGCGTCATACCCTGATATCGTTGTCAATATGTTACAGTATCTACGTATTTCATTTAATTAATTAAAATTCTATTGTTATTAGGTGGGTGACTATGCAATAGTTTCATTGTTTACGTCGTACTGACATATTTTATATTAATTAGTTTTCCTTGTTTGCGATGTCATTGTTTACGTCGTACTGACCTGTACTATAAAATTAGTTTTTTTTGTTTGCAGAAACCATTGAAGTTTTGGTGAATAATTTCACTGTGTCGCCTGATCTGCTGAGCTCACTGGAGGCTTCATTTGTTTTGTTATTCCTAATTGAATTTTGGGTTCATCAAGAAAATAGTTAAACATAAATTTAAACACCTTAAATTTACAATAATATGAATTGACGAGGTCGCTTGTTACTTATTTTTATTCACGGCAATATATAATTACAAATCCATATAATATATCAAAAATCATGCCACATGTCCCATTCTAAGATAAACAATATATGTTCAATCGGAACACCCAGAACCATTATCTTAGAATTAGTTTTGCGTTCAAGTTCAAGTGCGTGTTCTTTTTCATCTGTATTTTAATGTTATATTCCTCTCCTTAAGATAAAAATGTAAAAGCATGCAACAAAATTCACAATCGGAATGATGTTATCCGGTTTTAACATATTACTCAAGTATGAACTAATGCCTGATCTTCAAATTTCTTCACCGCATTTTTCCATTTGAATATTTGCCTTCTTCATCAGGACCAAAAAAATTTGTTAGTTGCCTGGGCGAAGCCAATGAGAAATTCTTGTCGACTTTTCAGGGCAAGAAACATGAGTTTTATAATGAAAATTGCGGAGAATGTGAGGAAAATAACCTGCAGTCTTTCCAAAAATACTAGAAAATTTTTTTATAAATGAAAGGTACATATATGTGATCTGATTGAAAAATAGGGCAATGATGGTTTTGACCTGGAGCCAGAGTGTTTTTTCAATATTATTTTTATGAGATTATCTCCATTTTAAATAATCCCATTTGTGGCATCCGATCCGATCATACTATTTTGTTCTGCACACAGTCATGCTAACCATATAGCATTTTATTAGAAGCATTCATTATTCTTTGTAAACTTTATAGCGCGACAAAATAATTTAATATGACTGCTACTGAGTACAGTGAGCGACTCTGTGACGGACATGTGTACATGCATGGATGAGATTGAGATGCTCAATTCTTTCCCTTTATAAAATTATGTTCAATATAAATTATAAAAATGCGATATAGATTATAATAAAAAAACGATAAGGTTGTAATAATCAACATTGCCTTTTGTTCTAAAGCAGTATATAAATTTTGTTGAAATTAGATTGAAGTTGAAACACGAACTTGAATTTACAGTATACCAATAGCTCGTAAGAGCTGGAAATGCTTTGAATGGATCGAAAAACATGGAATAGCGTCAATAAAGCATTGTGTCAAATAAGAGAGATTTTGAATTTTGGTCCATCATGTTACATTGAAAAAGATGGGACATATATACAAATACACCATCAAAGTGAATTTAGGACTCCTATCTTGAAACACTCTCTCAATAATTTCGGAAAAAGTTGTATTGGATTTATATTTGCTCCCGTGACACTTTGTCAGCTTTTTATAGTTTCATTTTTGCAGTTTTTGGCCTCTTCCATTACAACCATATCTGAAAAGCACATTACCAATTTAAATATCTTAGCCGATCACTTCCCCAAATATTGTAATTAATCTATTCATTTAGATTTTATATGCAATAATTTAGCCACATTTGTCAGTTTACTTTGCAAAAAAATTTATTTCATAGTTTATTCTCTGGTCCACCTTCCAAAATATTGCGGAAATAACTTCTACTAAATTTATTGTAATTTAGCCGCGCTATTCAAATTATTCTGCACGAAATAGAGCGCCAGACTGGGGCCGTGCAGAGCAGAATCACGATCGAGATGTCGGCTTCGCGGCAAATTTGGTTAGGAATGCAAATCTCGGAAATTGTAGCTCCATGTAGGATCTGCAATATAATAAAACTGAATTTCCTCGCCTTTACGAGCTGAATAACTTTAGTAGTACAGGGTGAAGTTCTTGAGTACCTGAAAATAGCTTTGGACTACAATATGTAACTATCACTGTAAGAAAAATCACGGCTAAACGGTCTCACCGGCGTCCTACTGTATGTGGCCGGCCGACACGTGAAAAGATACACTGTATGACCGTTTTTATTCAAATTTAACACGAGAAACCCGTTAAACATCTGAAAATATAAGATAAACGTTTTTTTACATGGCGACCGGCCACTATACGTGCAACGCCGTTAAGGCCCTTTTTACCGTTTTTACCGCTTCAGTAATGCTGGAGAATAGTACCGTTTTTGAAAAAAAGAACGAGTGACATCTCTGACAAACAATAACTTTTGAACTTGAAACCGAATAATACTTGGAGTAACAATCTTTATGTGAGTACTACTTATCTCCACAAGCTATCATTACATAATTTCTCTAGAATAAGACAACTCATTTTGTAGAAGAATAGGGAACGTGTATTCTGCAACATATACTTGCAGAATATACAGTGAGGAAACAAACATACTTACCGCAGACGAAAGTTATGAAAATGAATCGAGTAACGAATCAAATTATATCATATTCTATTGAAAAAATATGAGTAGGCCACAAATTTTTCATTTTTAAACGAATATTTTCACTTCCTTTTTTTCGTTTGAAGGCACTTTGAATAGTTTGAAATATCTGTTATATTCCTCTCAACTGTTCATGATCCAGGGTAAATTATAATTTTACTTATGAGCGTAAAACTTAATACTTTCATTTAAATTTTTGCCAATATGTCTTTATTTCTTGTAGAATTTGATTTATTCACTCTGTGGTTGTGGGTGAATTTCCCACGGTTACGCAATTCACGCTTCATACACAGGACAGGCGTAGGCCGCAGGCCGTTAACGCAAAATCTTGTGGCAGTTCCAATGAGTTCTAAGTTCTGACGGTGTTCTGTTCTCTCCAGTCCAGAACTTTGGGCCCACCTAATTAATCAGGTACGTGCCATGTCAGAACTTCTGCAGCACTGCAACCACACCACTAATTAGTTTCCTTATCATCTTGCACTAATCCTGTTTAGATAATCATTGCTTGGAGGGTCAAACGTGTAACAAACGTTTGCATTATTTGACTCCATTAAAACAATATTTTTGGAAATTGAACCAAAATTTTTTCATATAATATAAGATTTATCCATGCCAATCGTACCTATTCATTCCTATCTTAAATTCATGCCTATCACGCCAATTATTTGGCTGAACCCACAGCAGTTCTAGACGAAAGCTATTCGTCACTGGAATCATTGACAATCACCGGCGTCATCATTGGC